GTGTGTGTGTGTGTGTGGGTGTGTGTGTGTGTGTGTGTGTGTGTGTGTGTGTGTGTGTGTGTGTGTGTGTGTGTGTGTGTCAGTGAAAGAGAAACGGGGGTGAACGTGAACTTGGAGGTCTGCTGGTCGTCTTTGTCATAAACATAAGCCATATCTTCTCAGCAAACACACACACACACACACACACACACACACATACACACACACACACACACACACACACACTCACACACACACCGAACTGTGGTAGTCACTGAGACTCTGCTGCTGTGAGACTGAAAGAAAACACTGTCATGGCATGTGAAGGATGTTTCAATGAGAAGTATAACATGCAAAACCATACATATATATATACATATATATATATGGAGCAAACTCCAAATTTCGGAACCTCTGTATGAATCTTGAAACGTTGGGAATCCACACATCAGAAAGACTCATCCTTCACATGTCTGGGCATGCTTGCATACACAATCGTCAGCAAAGGAAATTGAACAACACCGAGAGGAAAGCTGCAATGGCAGCGAGACCTGTCCTGAAGGTGAACATCCTGTTCAAAGTGCATCCTGCTACCGTTCACTGAATTACAGCCTCCTTGTGTGAAACAATAGTTGCAAAACATTCCCACCTTTAATTTGCTGTTGCCTCATAAAAATAGATTTTGCACGTCGGGTCAGCCTCATGACGTTGTATGTGATCGCGGTGTACATAGCGTATCCGAGGAGGCCGTAGGCGTGCGTTTCTGAGTGTATTACCTGTTGTAAGGGTTCCTCAGCAGCAGAGCCTGACTGCCTGTACAGCTGTCTGAAGGCGTGTGGCATCCATACATAGAAGGTGGCACAGGATACTGCTGCTCTGCTACACATGTACACATACACACGTAAAGAGACGCACACAGAAATGTGTGTATGTACTGCATACTGCATCAAGTTTGGTTTTGTCATTTTCCATTGAAGTTTGTGTCACTGTTAAATTCTGTATCGTTTAACCGTGTAAGTTCAATGACACAGTAGCATGCAAATGTGGCTCAAAACTTCACTTTGAACCTTTCCCGCATGACATTATGCTAAAACCCAGCCTACGGTTCGAGCTTGACTTTCGAGTTTCTTTTAAGCCATGACCAAGCAACTCAATTTCCCCGTATTTCAAATCAGAATTGAAATAAATTTAAATTTGCCATTGCCATTTTTGCATTCCAGCAACTCGAAAAACACCACCAGTTTGCGTGTGTGTGTGTGTGTGTGTGTGTGTGTGTGTGTGTGTGTGTGTGTGTGTGTTTTAAGGTGTTTTCATGGAAAAGAAGCTATTGTATAAAAACATAAAAAATGTAGTTTTTTATATAATTCAATAAATAATTCAATGATTTGAATTATTTTTTGATTGATTTTCTCTCTCTCTCTCTCTTTCTCTCTCTCTCTCTCTCTCTCTCTCTCTCTCTCTATATGTATATATATTGCACACAGACAGACAGATAGAGAAAACAAGAAAAAATAATCCCAAAGCAAAAGAAATGTGAAGTCAGCACACCTCACATACATATCAAGACTTTAAGTATCAAGACAAAGTTATGGTACAGGGAAGCTACAGTTCTGTTCTTACAGTGATGGCGTAGCCTAAATTTGTATGGAAGTATTGATGATAGTATAATGAACGTGTGTTCAGGATTTAAAGGTTTCAGAATTGGAACACTTTAGGATTCGTTTCATGTCTGTTGGAGAATTTGATTCAAACTGCGGCAAATTTGAGGTTGAAAAGTTGTGCAACGGACTGCATACAACCCTGGATCTCCCAGGGTCTATGAAACGCAACGTTAGGTTTCAAGTTTCATTATTTCACACCTTCTTTAAGGACTTCTCCATCCATCCCCCTTTTTTTTCCAATTTTGATCCGTTTTTTTGTTTTTAATTCTGTGTCTGCTACCCATCTAGAGTGAACTGCTCCCTTGACACTTCCCCGCATTCCGATTGCTCTCCCAGCTCCCAAAGTGCTGCTCATTCCTGCTGCAAAGATACCCCGAAATTTATTGGGACAATGACACAACACGCACACAGCACTATTTTCACTTATCACCAATAACATATGGTGAGTATTTTTAATGGGATGGTTGGGTGGATGAAAGAGTGGAAGAGAGGAGAAGCCGAGGGAGTTTGTGAGTCAGGATGTGGCTGATTTATTCGTCGGACGGGCCAGGTCACCGCGGAGACGTCAGAAGACGTCCCCACGGTGAGGTCAGCGGTCTTACACTCGCTAGACATAAATACATATTCGTCTAAATCTGCTTTCCTCTCCTGAGATCTGTGAACCATTGATTCTGAGCGACATGACATCCGATCAAACATACCAAGGGCATTCTGATGACTTAAAGTGTCTTCGTGTTTGAAGGAGTGGTTGGGGAACTGCGAGCCGGGGTGAGACGGAGTGTGACCGTAATTGCCGGCACCATCAAACGCAACTGTGCCGTAACCTGCAACACAAAAAAAACACCAAATTCAAGTCGTCCATTTGAGTTCCATGACCAAATAGATCATTTCCAGATCCATTTGTCAATATGTCCACTGAAAGAAATGGTGTAGTGAATGTATTCCGTTTTATTTCGTCAAGTGGTTGCAAAGAATAAAATCATCCGCAGGACTTGAAAAATGATTCTATTGTGTGCAGCCACTTGAGATAAGAAAGCTGAGCAAATTCAACACACCGTTTTTTTCAGTGTAGTAATGCATGAGCAATATTATTTTGGTATTCAAAACACAATATTAAATCACCATTGATGTAGTTTCTAGCATGTTAAACCTCGTGTTTAAACAGCAATAAGTTGCATCTCAAAATGTTATTATTTCAATCATCATTATTTAGTTTTCAGTTTATTTAAATTTTGGGTAATAAAATAAACACACACACCAAACGAGTCTCTGACGCTCAGATGTGATTCATGTCATGACTGACTAAATGGCAGAACTCATTCCAATAAATCACACTCGCGCGCGCGCACACACACACACACACACACACACACACACACACACACACACACACACACACACAGTCAGTGAAGATTCAATGCAAAACATTGCACTGCAGCTTGGTAAAATGGTTGGGAATGAAAAAACAAAAAGAGTGGCATCCTTTCATTTTTTTACTCACTTCTGTGTTCCCGCATCGGTTTGTGTGTGTGTGTGTTTTTTTTCCATGGGGAATGGCTGTCTGAATTTGAAATCCCCGTGAGATGCGAACGAAACGGCACACATTTTTCCAGCCAGACCTCGGCACAACCATGGGTGCCTGTTCACAAGCGTGCCGCTAGGAAGCTTTTGCGGTGATGCGCCGTTCCCCGAGTGACCCCGCGCCATTATCAGCTCTACTGTGTGACCTGAGTCGTGCTGTTGGTTTGTTTGCGCGTGCTCGTCCAGCCACAGCAGGGACCAGATAAAACAGTTCAGAGGTCAGCTCAATGCTTTGATTGTAATGTTATTCCTAAATTATCTGCTTGATAGGCACATTATTACTAATTAATCTACCGGGCACGAATAAACAGATCTATTGTCCTGCATGAGCGCAGCAGAATGTGATCGTTATTGTTGACATTTTACTTGTCGTCTCTTACAACAACTTTTTTAAACACAATTTTTAGATCGAAAGTCGTAATTTGGTCACCAAATGAAATCCGGTTGATTTAGTGTCCAAAAAGGGCCTCATTTGAATCAATAAATACTTTGTTGTTATATTAAGACACAAAAGTGTCTCAAATTCCAAAAACATGTTCATTCGTTTTCATTAAGGGATTTAATTGCTTGCACTTAATCCCAATTATAAATTTCATCATTGCAGTACATTGTAAAATCTCAAATTGTTCATTGTTGCATTGGTGTTTATGCTCAAGAAAATGTCTTTGTGAGAATCATTCATTCTTCTGATTTGAAGCAATCACGGGAGGTTCCTTAGAGTCTTTTTGAACTTCTAAAGTAGCATTTCAATCAACGTCAACATGCAAGGCACTTACAGTTGATGCCACTGGATCATCTCCCTGGTTGGATTGAATCATAAACGACATTATTTTTAGTGCGTGATGCAATGCTCGACAAAATGCGGGTGTATTTTTAAAGCCTAAAAGACAGGAAATCTCGTTGAAGAAATATTAGTAGGACGCCATAGAAAATGTCCTGTCCACTCCCACAGAGTAAAAGATGTTTGGGGGTCAAAATGAAGTCCAAAACATCTTCAGTTGTGGTTGTTCAACGTTTTTTTAATTCTTGGTGCTGACCGTCAATAACTCATCAATATCAACGAGATCACTTCATCAGATGCATTTGCACAAAAATGCTGCGTGACATATTTTACCTAGTGACAAAATAATGCTCAGTGTTGTATTTATTAAGCAAATTGTTTCCATTGCGGTTGTAATTTCCATAATATGCTCTTCTCATATACTGTAGCTTAATAAAAAAACAAATGCAAGTAACTCATTTCAGCAGTGTGCAGTTCTCCACCAATGTAATTTACTATAAGTATGTTATTCAATTACTGTAATAACTCTGTGACAAATGGCAACTAACTATTTTTTGACAACTTTTTACTGATTTTGTGCATGTAGGTGGGTACCGAATATGGAGTTCAGTGAGTGCACATCAGTTCCACATGAAAAAAGAAACAGAAGCCTTGGCGTCACTTCTTTCATGTCAATTGTGGCGCTCAATGTATCCAAATCCAAGTAATCTTTACGTACTGTTTGCTCCTTTACTGTAATTTTTTTTCTTTTAACTTGTGCTGCTTTATTTCGATTCATGAACGGCTTTTATCGTAAGACGTGAAGTCTGACCTGCACAAAGCAACTGTCAAAAGTAATATGTGGATCTTCCAAAATGTGTTCGTTTTCTCGTTTTTTTGCTGAATTTTGTTTATCACACAGTCTATAAAGTCAGTCACACATTGGGATATTTTTTCTTCTGAATTTTGTTGATCACACAGTCTAAGTCAGTGACACATTGGGAGAATGAAGTCTGCAACGGATAGCAGGCCCTGAAGGCAACATCTCGACATTGGTCATAGGTCACACGGATGTGATGTTCAGAGAATGAGCTATACGTGTAGACAATTTGTATGGATAGGGTAACACACACACACACACACACACACACACACACACACACACACACACACACACACACACACACACACACGCGCACGCACACGCACACACAAACACACACAGGCACACGCACACGCACACGCACACACAAACACACACAGACATGCTGTACGGTAAAGTGCCTCTACCTGTTTGGTTGCGGGCGGCAGGCTGTGCGTCCATGCAGTTGGTCAGGTATGGCGGGTTGCTAAACATCCTGCCCGGGGGTTGGTGATGATGCGCGGCACCGACTGAAGGTGGCTGGGCGGCGGGTGCCGGCGCAGGAGGGGGCGCCCCGAAGGCAGCCCCGTACCGACAGGCCCCCGTGCCCGTGAACTGCCCCGAGAAGTGGACGGTGAAGGCGCTGAGGCCGCAGTGAGGATCCGAGTCCAGGTGGTGGGGGTCACCCGTGCTCCCCCAGCTGGGCTCCTGCTTGATAAAGGAGTGCGGCCCGAGGGATGTGTGAGGGGCTCCCAGAGATGAGTAAGGGGAGGTGGCGGTGTGGAAGTCCAGGACGGGAGCCCACTGAGGGGCCGTGCTGACTGGGAGGGCCGGGCAACTTGGACTGGGCCCGGCTGGGACTGGAGCTAGTAGGGAGTTCAGGTCACGTACATCTGAACCCATGGTGGTCCAGGACCAAAAGGAACACGCACACACACACACTCACACACACACACACACACACACACACACACACACACACACACACACACACACACACACACACACACACA